CACCCTCGGTGTCACCCTCGGTGTCCCCACCGTGTCACCCCCCCCGGTACCGGCTCCAGCTCCACCCGCTCCGGCAGCTCTGGGGACCGAGCCGGTGTCACCACCGCGGTGTCATCCCCGGTATCCCCCCCCGGTACCGGCTCCGGCAGCTCTGGGGACCGAGCCGGTGTCACCCTCGGTGTCCCTACCGTGTCACCCCCCCGGTACCGGCTCCGGTAGCTCTGGGGACCGAGCCGGTGTCACCACCGCGGTGTCACCCCCGGTATCCCCACCGTGTCCCCCCGCCCCGGTAGCTCTGGGGACCGAGCCGGTGACACCACCACAGTGCCACCCTCGGTGTCACCCCCGGTGTCACCCCCCGGTACCGGCTCCGGTAGCTCTGGGGACCGAGCCGGTGTCACCCTCGGTGTCCCCACCGTGTCCCGGCACCGGCAGCTCTGGAGACCCACCCGGTGCCACCCTCGGTGCCACCCTCGGTGTCCCCGCCGCGTCCCCCCCGGCACTCACGGTAGACGAGGACGCCGGTGCTGGCGTTGGCCTCGGTGTCGCCGCAGCGGCCGGTGCAGGTGACGGGCCCGGGGCTCCACCGGGACACGTTGTGGAGCCGGAAGCTTTGCCAGCGGAGCCCCCCGGCGCCGGGGGTCGCGGGCAGGGGGGTCTCCAGCCCCAGCGTGGCGTTGTCGCCCCCCGGGCAGGCGCTGCGGCTGCAGTTGACGGTCACCGAGCCCCCGAAGGCCACCACGGCCACCCGCGGCCAGGCCACCACCGTGAAGGTGCCCCGGGCGACCCCTGCGAGACCCCCACCACGGGCAGTCCCCCCCAATTCCGGCTGGGGGGGACCCCGCCGAACCTGAGACCCCCCCCCAAAAAACTGCCGAGGTCCTGGGGGTGTCCCCGTGTGTCCCCAACCCCCCCAGTCCAAAAGGCCGCTGGGATTTTGGGGTCCTGGGGGTCCCTGCGTGTGAACCCCCCCGAATTTTTAGGGTCCCTCACTACTGGGTTGGGTGGGGGGTCCCTGTGTGCCCCCCCCACCCCATCACTAAAGGGCCTCTGGTGTTTTGGGGGGGTCTCTGGGGGTCCCCCCCTTCCACTCCCGGGGGTCCCCAGGGTCGTGTCTCCCCAAAAAATAAAATCGCTGCTGATTTCGGGCTCTCTCCCCCCCCCCCCCCCCCCCCATTAATGATCGCTGGTTTTGGGGATCCTCAGAGACGCCCCCTCCCCATTTTGGAGGGTCCCCCCCCCAAATAAACCCAGGAGCCCCCCCTGCCCCCTTTACCTGCGAGCGCCAGAACGAGGGGGGGCAGGAGCCGCGTGGCCGGGCCGGGGGCGCCCATCGGGAGAGGAGGAGGAGGAGGGTGGGGAGGAAGAGGAGGATGGAGGCGGCGATGGAGGGGGAGGGCGAGGGGGATGAGGGTGGGGATGAAGCGGAGGAGGACGGAGGCGACGGGGAGGAGGAGGAGGATGGGGATGAAGCGGAGGAGGATGGGGAAGGGAGAAGAGGAAGAGGAGGATGGGGATGAAGCGGAGGAGGGTGGGGAAGGGAGAAGAGGAAGAGGAGGATGGGGATGAAGCGGAGGAGGATGGGGAAGGGAGAAGAGGAGGAGGAGGATGGGGACGAAGCGGAGGAGGATGGGGAAGAGGAGGAAGAAGCGGCTGAGGCCGAAGGCAGCTCCTCCGCTGCCGCGCGCGCCGCCGGTCCCGCGGGGCTGCTCCTCCCCCCGCCCACGCGAAACCCACCCAGCCCCCCCCCAAAATCCCCCCCCCCCCCCCGCCCGGTGCTCGGCGCTTCACGAAACCCCCCCCCCCAAAAAAAATCCCTCCCCCAGCCCCTCCCCGAACGCCCCCTGAGCCCTCCCCGCGTGGGCGGCTCCGGGCCGCGCGTGGGCGAAGCGACAGCGACAGACGGGACCGCGTGGGGGGACGGGCGGGGACACCGGCGATGTCCCAACCGGGTGGGACAATGCGGGGACACCGGCGATGTCGGGACAATACGGGGACACCGGCGATGTCCCCAGCCGGGTGGGACAATGCGGGGACACCGGCGATGTCGGGACAATGCGGGGACAAGCGATGTCCCCAGCCGGGTGGGACAATGCGGGGACACCGGCGATGTCCCCAACCGGGTCGGGGTGCGGGGGGGGCGGGCTGGGGACACCGGCGATGTCGGGACAATGCGGGGACACCGGTGATGTCGGGACAATGCGGGGACACCGGCGATGTCCCCAACCGAGTGGGACAATGCGGGGACACCGGCGATGTCCCCAACCGGGTCGGGGTGCGGGGGGGACAATGCGGGGACACCGGCGATGTCCCCAACCGGGTGGGACAATGCGGGGACACCGGCGATGTCCCCAGCCGGGTCGGGGTGCGGGGGGGACGGGCTGGGGACACCGGCGATGTCCCCAGGCGGGTGGGACAATGCGGGGACACCGGCGATGTCCCAACCGGGTGGGACAATGCGGGGACACCGGCGATGTCCCAACCGGGTGGGACAATGCGGGGACACCGGCGATGTCCCCAACCGAGTGGGACAATGCGGGGACACCGGCGATGTCCCAACCGGGTGGGACAATGCGGGGACACCGGCGATGTCCCCAGGCGGGTGGGACAATGCGGGCACAGCCCGGTCACCTCCCCCCAGTGCCACCCCCAGCCCGGAATTGCAGCGTCGCGTCCCCGTGGATGTCACCTGCAGCGTTTATTGGTGGGACGTGTCGCTGTCACCTCCCTGTCCCCTCCCTCCTGCCCCTCGTCCTCCCGCCAGCGCCAAAACCTCCCCGGGGATTCCACCCCGGATGCTCCGCCCGGAGCTCCAAGACCTCCAAAGTCGCCAAATCCATCCCAAAAAAACCACTCGAGGGATAAAAATCTGCAGCGAAGCCCCGGAGATCCACGCCAGGGCCCGGCTGGGTGTCCCGGTCCGTCCCGGTCCGTCCCAGGCTGGGAGCTGCACCCACCGCGGTGGCTCCGGCCCGGCCCCGCTCTCGGTGCCCGCTCGGTGGCCGCGGCGGAGGGTCGGGCCGGGGGTCCCGCTCCCTCCGCGGCCTCTCCCCGGTTACGGGGTCGCGGATCCGTTGGGAGCGGCCGCGGCGGCCCCGGAGCCGGGCGGCGGCCGCAGGGGCCGGGAGTCCGGCGGCGGCTGCCGCTTCCAGAGCCAGTAGTCGCCGATTTTGGTGCGGTGCCGGTAGAAGAGGACGGCACCGGCCAGGCCCAGGAGGACGAGCGCCGGCACCAGGACCCCCAGGAGCACCGGGAGCAGCGGCACCGAGTCGTCGTCTGGGGGGAAATGGGTCTGGGGTCAGTGGGGAGGGGGCTGCTGTGCCCCGGGACCACCACGAGCCCAAAATCCCCAAAGACCCCAAAGAACCCCCAGGACCACCACGAGCCCGAAAACCCCAAAGGACTCCAAGATCTCCAGGACCTGAGACATCCAAGACTTCCAAAACCCCCAAGACCACCAGAAGCCCAAAGACCCAAAAGACCCCCAAGACCACCCAAGACCCCCAATATCCCAAAGAACCACCAGGACCACCAGGAGCCCAAAGACCCCCAGGAGCACAAAGACCCCCAAGATCCCCAGAACCCCAAAGACCCCAAGGACCACCAGGAGCCCAAAAACCCCAAAGACCCCCAGAAGCCCCAAGACCCCCAGAACCCCAAGGACCCCAAAGAACTCCCAGGGCCCCCAAAATCCCAAAGACCCCCAGAACCCCAGAGACTCCCAGAAGCCCAAAAACCCCAAAGACCCCCAAAAGCCCAAAAACCCCCAAGACCCCCA